ATTCATTCGTCAATTTACGCCGACTGCAGTGGCAACTGTTACTCCCATATCGGGTATCTCGCCTTAGTGACAATTCCGACAATTCTGTGCCAAAAAATTGGGCTTTCACTTGATGCAACTGTGAAATGTTTATGTAGAAAAGTCGTCCAAAAAACACATATTTTCATGTACAAACTTCTAAAAGCAGACTATTTGCTTCAACTGTTTGTCTTCTCATTTGAATACGGCTTTAAATCAACAGTTGCAGGTCAACATACCACCATGTGCATCAAAGCACTTCTTATACATAAATCACTTTTTTTAATGGGTTAATCCAATGAATTGGCAAAAGTTCTACCGTAGATGATCAGTCAGGATTATTGTCTAGTAGGTTGCAGACCATGTGCAGCTTAAAGGGAAATTTGTAGAGGTTGTAAAACTTGAATAAGAGGAATTAGTTACTAACAATGTATTTACAAAAGAAAGGTGTGCGAAAACACCATCGGTTATTTTGAACAATTAAACGAAACTGTTCTCTGCATATGTATCAATAAACTTGGATTTCCATCCAACCACCTGCGGTTCATTTGTGCATACATCCTTTGGGCCTAACTCAAAATGTTCGTATTGATCGCGGTCACTTTCCATAGTAGTTTGGCCATAACACATGGATTGGAATGTGGGGTAAGATAGTTGGACAGTGGTGGCTACACTCAGAGGACTGTAAAACGAAGCGTTTGATGTTGCTCCATGGGGTTTTGTTCTGGATGCTTTTGGTTTTGGTATACACATATTTTGTTGGCCGAATGGAATGTGATGCAGTATCTCCTGTCCATTTTTGCTAATTTGAAATGCTTCCGCATCAGCGTCGTCTCGGATTGGAGTGAACTTGGCTATCGTTCCAGGTACCATGGAAGGATAAGCACGGAGCGCGCTATACCCAACTGCAGAAAAAGAATGTAGGGAGGAGAGCTTAAACAATGCTCTACAAAACACAGAAAGTAAGCTGGGCGTCTAAGCCTGCAGTAAAAAGCACGGAAATGCAGTCAGTAAATTTTCCCTTCAACTGCTTGTTAAGCACGGTAAAAATATGAAGACTGGTAGTCACTTGCGGCTTGTATATTTCCTTCTTAGTCCCGTTGCAGGTGACAAATATGCAAATAACTATTAAAGTTTGGCTGCTGCTGGAAAATATTGAGATGCAGAGTGAATAGCAGAAATTTAATCCCTAAATCCGAGGCAGCCTAAGGCAGACAAATAAATCTTATTTATCCGCAGTGATGACTTCATCCGGATTACCACGACGGACTCGGCAAGCCGAAAGCATGGGAATTATCGTGACTCAACGAAGCTTTAAACACTGAGCCGATTACTATCCCCAGAACGGAGGTTAATAGGTGTTTGTTATTATGAAGCAGTCGTTCACCCAAACACGTAAACATGGATTGCAGTTGGTTCGGTGTTGCACCGCCTATCCCACTATCTCACCATCCATGACCGGTTTCGTCGTCGTTTGGACTCATCAGATGGCGATAACCTGAGCTGGGATGGAGCTAGGAACCAATTGGTTTAATGTGAACGCCATGTATATTATGGCTCTATGAGCATTGAAAACGCTTTGCACAGCGGTAAGGAATTCAAAGTTGGATTCGGAGTCCCCAGGGGAATTAGAGTTCATGGGCGACTTCACCCAGAGATATCACAGCATGTGTTCTTTTGTTCAGAAGTCATATTCCAATATATTCCGCCTGTGTAACTTGCTCCGCCGTCCCACACAAATTACCAGATAACATCGATAAGCAAGTTTCCTTCGTTATAAGCGCGACAGATTACGTGTTCGTTCGATGACAGTTTGTACAGCACAGCAGCACCCAACAGTCACGGTACTTACAGATAACTGACTTCAGTAAATTTACAAGACCCGTTAAAAGGCACTCAGAATTAACGCCTCTCCTAGATCCGCAAGCCTAACATACAAGTATAATTTGAGCATCTGTTATTCATAGTCAGATTATCTGATTGCACTAAGCGTTGGCCTTTTTATATATATATATATATCTATAAATTCAGCCCACGAATAACTGAGGGTGGTCACACGACCGCGAAGCGCATCTACGGAGTACTGCCGACATACAGTTATTTTACTATATATTTATATATACAACTTTCGCCTGAGAATTTTGTTCCTACAATGTGTGCTATGTTTGACTAGAATCCGTATATCCTTGACTTCAGCGGAGCCGCAGTACACTGAGAATGACAAATTCTGTACTCCAGGGTAGCGGTGACGGTCCCAGTGACCGTATTAGCAGTGGCTGACCGAGGCCAGGATTGAGATTGCTTGTCACAGTCCAAGTCACACGGTGGGTGCTCCAAAACATATAAATTCTGTAGTCGTATAAATAACGCATATGGGTTTTGGACATGTAAACATTTTGCATTAAATTTGTACGTGAAGGAGTGTAAAAGCGAAGCATATATATATGTATATATATATGTAATTTGAATATTTAATTCTCTAACACAATGGTATATTCATAAACCGTTCTATAACGGCACCTGATGAGATTGTCTGGATAAGCTCGAGTCAAGTATACTTACAGTTTCGTGGATTTGATTGCCATAGACAAATTCTCCTTTGGTGTTTTCTGTGTGTCAGAAAAAGTCAATTCAGACGTGAATTCATTTGATAAATAAATTCATCTCATGGGCTGATGGTAAGAAATCTCCGGCCAAGTCTTGGATGCATTTTGATCTGAGCCTAACATACTGCGAGAGTTACTAATACTACCATCTGCTTGCATCAGCAGCCGGTACTGCGGTGTGTTGGGCGAAACAGTTGGGCTGGACGATTATTCCAGGCCTGACGCCCTGAGATCAGCTGTTCCATGCTGGTTTCAACTCTTCTGCGATCTGTTTTGGGAAGATGTCTACTTGATATTATGCTCTGGAAAGCTTTTATACACCGTATTGCTAATTGATTTTGTAGTCTAACGTGCAGGCCCACACCCGAAGACTACTTCCCTGATTAATGCATGCCACTGCAAGCCTCACACTGCATGTGTTTTCAAATGTTCCAACCTCATGTAGTGTGCCCGATGCTGATTGATGGAAGTAAGAATACTGGTAAGTTGTCTGCATATGTTCTAGATTTAGATGTTAATTTTTCTGTCGAAATCGGGTAATGAACTCCAAGTCAACCTGGGGGCATGGGTTACCATTTTGTTTTCGTAGACATCTACGCAATACCCAAAATTGTGCTTCTGTACATATTTCGGGTGCCACATAACATAAAGCTCTCCGTTTATATCAATCGCACGGTGGACGCAAATGTCCATACATATCGGACGTAGTTAAACTTCACAAAATGGATAATTCGCCATATTAAAGCATCGATCCTTGACTTGCAGCTATCACTCTTTTCCCGATTACATCACAAAAATATCGCATTTCCCACTAATTCATGCCAACCTAAGGAGATTGCAATCATAGCAGCGGGGTGGTAGATATAGTTGACGTGTAAGGAACCATCATTCCTGGTTATGCTTTGGAGATATTGTGTACACTTGTATCTTCGCCACCCCGAAATGTATCGTTATACTAGTTTAACATATGCGATCAGTCACCACCAGACGTGCACTTTCTGCGTGCACACTCGTATACCGGTTAACGCGTAGCCTAATTTCGTCATGGCAGTGAGAAGATATATGTTGCGATGTGTCCCCATTTCGTTTTTACTCTTCAGTCGCGAAAACAATATGAGTGGAACTTCTCAAACTAGTATATAGATGGAAAATAAACAACACCAGTCAAAATATCACGGTTAGTACCAAGGTTACCGAATTGGTTGCCTCAAGACTTTCTATGCACATACCACAGGTTTGTGGACCTTACTTAACAACGCCTCAGTAACTGCCAACATTATCGGGTTTCTCTTACGTAATGACAAGTTGTACGCTGTTTCAGAGTTCACATGATGACGGGTTGCCATGAGGTGCTTGTTGATAGACAATGCGGGGCTTCGATTAATCTGCAGATCCGTTTTGTTTTGTTGCGTCATCACTTGTCCTAACAACTTCACTAAGTTCTTGGAAGATACTTGGAACTGATCGACCCGTCATGAGCTCAGAAAGGTTTGGAAACAATAGAGTCCGGGTCGTCTAGATGTACTATACCATTTCTTGACGGCCTGGTTCACAGAAATGAGGGAGCTTTAGAAACAACAATATACCGCAAACCAACAGATACTGGCGGCGTACTCCACTGCACTTCGGGTCATCCGAAACAGGTTTAGGCTGGGATAGCCTAGCGCTGTTCTACAAGGCACAAACCCTGTGCACGATGGAGGAGGATAAAAAGGCTGCGCAGAAAGTAGCAATGAGCAAAGTAGTAGGAAGTGGCTATCCAGGGCGAAGCGTCAAACGCTAATTGCGAAGAGTGCCAATCCGACAGCCAAACCCAAAACGGAGTGGATAAGGACGGTAGGAATTGCATGTAGGGAAGGCACTGTAGAAGCAATTCGGATGGCACTAAAAAATGAAATTATAGGAATGTGTTTCCAACGAGGTCAAACGCTACGCTCAGCGCTGGTGCACCTCAAGGACCTCCTTCCCAAGGATAGCACAATTAACTGCTCATGGAATTAAATCTAAAGACTGTGCACAAACAGCGGTGAAATTGCGCACAAGAATTTCAGAACACAGGATGCGCATTTCCAGACCACCAAGAAACGAGTTTGAACGTTAGGCAAAAGTAAGAACTTCGACCGTGGCTGTGAATGCATTAGACACGGGTCAGCAGACAGACTTGGAAAACGTAGGGGTGATTAGGATTGGTATACCATCAAATTCTCAGTGGCTGATTGCCGTGGCTATGGAAATTACCAAATCTCTTGACTGTGTGAAAAGAATGAAGGAGATAGAACTGTCTACCTCGTGGAGAGCGATCTTAAGCCTTCTAGCTTGACGAGCATCGGCGCGTGGATCAGATTGACAAGTGCAACTCTGTTCCCACTATTACCATTTTGGATACATTCTTCAATGCTATGAAAACAAAGGAAATCCAGATTATTCCCACTTTGATTGAACCACCTGATGGGACATCACGAGCTTTGACTGCAATGACACCTTGGCGGAAGTCTCGGGTGACGTGGTTATAATGAGAACAAAGAGACCACTTGGTGAGCAATTGCTTTCGATGATTCTTCTTCAGACCGATACAATTATATATAGGGTTAAAAAAGTAACATCGACATAGTTGATACAATTAACGTGGGGTCAAAATCGAAAACGGGTTAATTAAAAGTTACGGGTTTCTTGACCTCGCGTCATTGACCTCATTATCATCTGCTTTTGCGGGCCAGCGAAGCTGAACAGCCTTAATTAACTTCTGTTGCGAGCATAACGATGGTCGGAATGATCGAATACAAATCGATTCGGCCGTTGCGAGTGTACGGAGACGTTGACCCATTGACCGGTGCGGCGGAACTCTGTATACTGCTCTAAAGTTACGCTCTAGATCCACTTGATGTCCGCTGTCGACAATATGAGCCAGGATAGGGCTACTAATGGCTCCAGTGCCACCTCGATGTAGCCAACGCGGACAGTGTTCGTTCATGCGTTTGGACAGGTGCCGCGCCGTTCGACCGATATACGATGCGCCACAAGCGCATTCAAACTGATAGATAACCATTGAGGCGGTCAGCATCGGCAACTTATCCTTGGTTCGCGAACGAACGAGTGGTTTCGTTGTAAACATACATTTAAGCATAGCTGCGGCGAAAGCTTATTTAATCACACCAGAAAGACTTCTAGTTAATCGTTCCGTAGCCGCGCCCCCTTTGAAAGGCAGGCTTATGAAGAGTTCCTTCTTTGCCACTGTTAATAATGGTACTGGCTTTGGTTTTTCCTCAAGGTTTCTTAAAATAAATCTGTCGGGGTAACCA